TGCTGCATTTTAATGTGTTTATTAACTGTAAATGTGCTGCATTTTAATGTGTTTATTAGCTGTAAATATGCTATAAGTTAGTAGTTAGTGTAGAAATGACCTTTATCGTGCACTAATCTATTGAATGCATGTCGCTGCACACCGGTAACTTTAACTTTACATATGCATCGACGTTATAGCTGAATAAATGTTTAATGCATTAGTTACCTTTCTTGAGAGTAATCCCCACTTAGTTCCTCAAATGTCATGTTGTACATAAAATCCAAATCCACTTTAGAGCGAAGGGTAACGTGATAGTAGTGGCGAGTTATCCTCGTGTCTTCTCGACTGAACACACTTTATCTGTACTCCACTGTGCTGCGACAGAGAGATAAATCTGGCAACTTCACATTAAAACTGCCTTGGACAGTTCATTGTCCGTAGAGCAGCGATCATTGGTCGTATGCTAATGTTCAGGGTGTGCTCTCGAGTGGGATTGGAGAGACACAGCAACAGGCGTGTCCGTCTCCGACCGGGTTACTACCGTGACTACAGCCGCCTGCTGGCCTCCACAGTTGGGCTACAATAAATAAAATCTATTCAGCAGCTTGTTTGCAACACATCTCTAGCACCGCAGCCATGTTATAATAACTTATGCACAACTATATCGTGTGAACAGCTAACATCCACAAACCCCCTCCTGGACAAACATACACCTACAACAATGTGACAACCACCTGGAAATAAACAGGAATACACATTTATATTGGTTTTAGACATATAAATCAAAGTGACTTAATCTCTGTTTGTACAACGCGTTAAATAAAGTGATGAATGGAGAAGCAGTTGCAGAGCTCACCCTCGCTGCCGGACAGGACAGGGCAGGATTCAGGACAACTGCATAGCAACGGGACGCTGCTAGGGGACGCTGCCCTCTGATTGGTCCGCGGCGGAGCGTGCGAAAACACACCGAAACCGCGCGCGAGATCCAAAGGACTGGCGCGAGAAAGACAGGAGCGTATGACGTACTGCATTACTGCAGTGAACTTCTTCTTCACTATATATACATATATATATATATATATATATGTATATATATATATATCACCTTTATAGTGTTCATTCAGTGCTGCTTTCATTTAACTTTACATTTGAGTACTTAAAGGTAATATAATAGCACTTATTCCTGTTGCTGGGCGCTCTGGTCCATCTAGCCTCAGTGATCAACATGAATAAGTTAATATAAAAATATTATATAAATGTTAATATAGACTAAGATAACATGAGACAGGGTCAAATTTAATGATCCCACACAGGAAATTGTGCCCCAGCAGCAGAAGGCCAGAACAGATGCACAGACAAAATATCTAGAATACTATAGCCATACATTATTTAAATAATTTAAAGTTGTAAAATACAATATACATCAACTGAAACAGTAGGCTGAGACAAATCTAGGAGACACGTTGTAAGAACAGTTACAACAGTGACATTATAGTGTCTTGTGACTACAGAAAGTAATGCCAGCTTCTGAAACTTATTTGTCTTGTCTGTGTCAAGACAGCTGTTTCTGAGGAGCATATTATGACAGAGCCCTTACAATTCACATGTGAGTGGAGTGATTTTTGCATTATGGCACTGCAGATGTTTAAAGTAGTTTGAACACTACTCTTTCTTCAGTGGGCCTATCTGATGAACAAACTGAAACCTTGTCCAATTGTACTTTCAAGCTAATTTCAACAGCAGCGCTCAGTATTTTGTTTTATTTTTATTTCCTGGTCTCAGTTTTCATGATATTCTTTATAGGAACAACTAAAATTTGGAAGTTCAGGGCGATTAGACTGCAACTAACAGTTATTTTGTATCAGTCATTCAAAGAAAAGAAGAAAATGCCACAGTGCAGTGAGTGGACGTTATGGGATGTTATGCTGCCTCTTGGTGGCGGCAGTCAGAACTCCCTGAGAAAAGTTAGGGCTGCACACTCAATCACAATATATCAATAATTCATGATTGTACAGAGCATCAAACATGACAGAAAGTCTCTCTTCATGTACAGTGTTTGCTGTTCGGGCCCTTTGGCTCCAGGCTACAACCTTCCTGAGGGGGTATTAGGGTAGTTCAGTGGCTCTTATCACATTATTTGGAAGTACAACAAGGAAAAAAGTAGGGAGTCTTGATTGATTGTAATTTATAGTGATCCTAGTTTGATCCTAGTTTGACTATGAAGACATCATCATGAATTATTGATGTATTGTGATTGAGTGTGCAGCCCTAACTTCTCTCAGGGAGTTGTGACTGCCGCCACCAAGAGGCAGCATAACATCCACTTACTACACTGTGGCATTTTCGTCTTTTCTTTCAATGAGACTGATATGAACTGTCCTCTCTGAATCCATTTACTCTAAAAAATAAAACAATTCACTCATTATTAAACCGGCAACTATAATAATTGTCCTAAGCAAAAATACCAAATATTCAATCATAACACACACAAAAAAATATTCAGAGGGGATTCCTTAAGATAAAATCCTTTCAAGCTTGGTCAGTGGTCTAATGGCCATTTACTGTGGGGGTCTCTGACTTGACAAAGATTGGGAACCCCTGGGCTAGTCATCCTTGTTAATCACTTCACACAACTCACTGTCACAGATACTTATTTTAATAACCATAATTAACCATAATAACTACCTTAAGGATGTTTCCTCTGTGGTTGTGTACATTGTATGGACTTCATATTTGAACCCATCTGTTCCAGGGCTGTCCAGTAGGAGGCAGCACTAGTACACCTCACGCACATGAACCACATGACCCCTTTCCTCCCACCTGTTAACAGATATGTTTTCATTAGTGTATAATCACCTGAAAATAAGAAAGTGTTTTTGTTAGCTTAGAATGAGACAACACGATGCAGCAAACATTCATGCATTGTTTAGTTTTATTTCATAAACATAAACATACCTCCTAATCTACCATGGACTGCCTCAAGAGACACAAGCTGAAGCAATGGTCCTCATAGTCCACTTAAATACCATTGGAAATCTGTGGGTAAGTCTTAAAAGAGTTGTGTGTGCAATATTACAGAATAACAAAAAGTGTTCGCCAGCTGTGATATTAATATTAGTGAGTAAGTTAAGGAAGAGAACAGGTCAAAGAAAGGCCAAAGCAAGGATGAAAATTGTATTAACTGAGGAGTAGAAAATAGCCACTTGGATGCCGAATGGTAAAAATAGATCAGTATTTTGTGTTTTTGTATAAATATTAAATGGATAGTTGAGTTTTGATGCTTCACACCTGAAAAATAACTCAATGTACCCGCCCACTTCTTTATTGTGACACACCCTATATAAACAATTTTTAACTGATCTGTTTTTGTGTCTGGTGTTACCTGGATTTAGACTGTTTACCTGTTTGGACTGCCTACCTGGTGCTGAACCTCACCTGCCTCACGATTCTGTAAGTGTATTTTCACTGTCTCCAAATCATTGTACTTTTACAGTCAGCCTGCATTCTTTGGATTTGGGTCCTTTCCCATACCTCAGTTTTATATTTGTTAATAATCTTATTTTCAATTTAGCGTTAATTGTTTTGTGACTGTTCTGTATCTGTTTCCCCAAACCTATACACATTAAAAATTATGTGACTGACATTTCAGCACAGAAAACCTGTTCCGATAGATCCAGCAAGCAAACTGAAGAGGAATATGATGAAAAACAATGATCCAGCAAAGTATGCTAAGAGAGGCCAGTGGGCCAACAAGAGGGAGTTCATTTTGGCAATAGTCGGAGAAATCATTGGTCTGGGCAATGTCTGGAGATTTCCATATCTGTGCTTCAAAAATGGAGGAGGTAAGAAAGTCTCTGTGCAGGTGGGCTGAGCGCACACGATGAAGCAGATGTCTGTTCTTAAACTGAGTTCAGGGCCAAGTTATGAGAATTCAATGCTTGAGGAGGTTTTTGAGAAATAAGATTTCCTTTTATACATTTTCAAATATAAAATACTATTTATACTATGGCTTGGCTAAATACTTGATTGTTTACTGAGAGATCTGCATCCATATTGCCCAATATGCACAGCTAATCAATATTTTAATTCAATGAAGACCAATATAACGCGGCCAAATTTTATGTCTCATTTTATGAGTTTTAGAGCATGTTGCCGCCACCAAAAATGCAAATCATTGGGGAATAAAAAAAAAAGAAGAAGAATACCTTAAGTTTCAATAGGACCTAATCCCATATATATATATATGTGTATATATATATCAAAAAATACGTTTACTAATAAATAAAAAGCAAAAAATCAAATCACACAAAATCAGCAGGTGGACTTAGGCAACGTTTTACTGCTTCTTATGCACATGCTTTTAAGAATCACAGCTCACATGGTGAAACTGTAAATCTGTAAATGTGATCTTTGTGAATTTAATCTAACTTCTTGAATCAATATTAACTCATTGTATATTTAGTTATTATTTAACCGTACTAGTAACTGACTTTGACTTTCAGTATGTATAACATACTTTACATTAGGGTTACCCTTTGAAGTTTAAATGTAGTTGTCTTGGCTGTGTTAATTCACAAAATGTCTATTGCACTGTAGCATTTAAGCTTGGTATTGTTGCTGTTGTGTGAATGATTAACGTTGAACATTATGCCCTGGATGCCCTGTGAATAAAAATCTTCACCTATGCTTCAGAACAGCAGCTTGTCACATATTGATCATGTTGCACAACATTATGTTATACCATGAACCCATACCTAGCTGGTTTAACGTGTGATTCGACATGTTGGCAACAGTTCAGTGTGTTTTTTCCAAGAGCCACACCTATTAAAATTTATGTGCATGTCCCTGCATGAAACCTTGTGTTTCAACCATTTATATGGTTTCTCTCCCTCTTGTTAGGTGGGTGCAAGGGTTATGCCCCTTTTTTGTATTTTGTCTACCTGCTTTTAGCATTACCTTGTTTGATTGTGTATGCAAAAGACTCCTACAAAAAAAGTCTTGCTGTGTACAGCAGAAAATTTGAGGTTTTAAATCATTAACATTTTATGTTCGTATTTTTCTCAATGTAAATCCTGACCTTGTTAAATTCTTCCCTTGAGGTGTTTTCTTGGTTCCCTATGTTTTGGTCCTGTTCACCTGTGGAATCCCCATCTTCTTTCTGGAGGTGTCTCTGGGCCAGTTAACTGCTCAGGGTGGAATTACATGTTGGAGGAAAATATGTCCTTTGTTTGAAGGTACTGCAAAGTAAATTAATTATTTGACATAATGTTACAATTTTGTGTTAATAAATGATAAATAATTTTGCTGACGATAACATTATTGTGCCTCAGGCTTAGGCTACGGCAGTCAGTTGCTTCTGCTATACAATGGGATGTATTATATTGTCGTCTTGGCTTGGGCCTCCCGCTACCTCTTCTCCACCTTCCACACTATACTCCCTTGGGCCAGCTGTAATAACACCTGGAACACAAGTAAATCACAAGTAAAATTACACAACATAGAGCTCCATTGTTGTGCAGCAGCAGTAGTATATATTTAAACAAAATAGGAAGAAATTGCCAATACATACAATGTTTCCTGTATCACAAGATGCCATTCTAACTCTTCTAAATCTTATTTTCCACACAGAGGACTGTGTCGATTATAAACTGGATCATTCATCTAATGGCAGCGTTTCTCAGAACACAACGTCTTCAGTTGAAGAATTTTGGCAGTATGTGTTCCCAAATACTCTACTTGATACTGAAAATAAAGCAATTATTTAACAGACTTAGAAAAGGAAAATGTTTCTATACATACAGTATGTTGTGTTTAGGAGGAGAGTTCTAGGTTTGTCTGGAGGAATTGAAGAAGTAGGTAGTATCCGCTGGGACCTGGCAGGATGTCTTCTGCTGTGGTGGATAGTGTGTTACTTCTGCATCTGGAAAGGAGTCAAGTCTTCAGGAAAGGTGAGCTACCAAACAATAAGAGACTGAATTAATTCCTGTCTGACATCCTCAACAATAGCTCAAACTACTGTATGAGCTGAGGAAGGTCAGACTGGTGCAGAATGTTTGCTGACCATGCATGCATGCCCTCAAAGCTGGGATGGATTTGGGCTTGGGCCCCTAGAACAAGTTCACATTGTCAATAAACATAAAGTTGTGTGAGATGCTGTCGGGTGAGAGATCAGCGCCCCTCGGAGGAGCCTTGATGCTGTCCGACCCAACAGGGGTAGAGCGCAGCCTCCTACAGGGATCTGCCTGTGAGGTCAGACTGTGTTTCGTCACCTGTCAGGTTTATTTTATCTATACTGCTGCTTCTCTTTCAGGTCGTCTACTTCACAGCCACATTCCCTTATGTGATGATTTTTGTTTTTCTAATCCGTGGTGTGACACTGCCAGGAGCCAGAGACGGTATTAGATTTTACCTCTATCCTGACCCAGCACGCATGGCTGATCCTCAGGTGAGGCACACGTGTGGGTGATAAGTGAGTCTGTTTAAATTTTTAGTCCACATTTTAATATTTCACAACAACAACCCTAACCTCTACTATACGTACCTTTACTTTCTACGTTAGCAATGGGTCTTCTCAAAAGTCACACGTTATTGGGGTAGGACGTACCATGGAAAAACATTTCTAAACTTGCCACAGCTGTTTAAGAGTGCAGCAACATGAGCATATTCAGGGTTCCTGTAAGAAAAGTCAGGTGGGACTTGAAGGAGATTCAGCTTATTTCTACCATAGTCAGACAGCCAAACTTTCATGACAGAGGCGTTTCTATAGCTATGAGTCCAATGTTGCATACATGTCTGTCTGGTAGATTTGGCTAACACAAAGCTGCTATTTATAAATGAAGTTAGGCATTAGAGGGAGTTGCTGAGCTAATGTTGAGACATTTATTAACATTTTTTGTACATAAATGATAAACTAAAGGAGATTAATAGCTAAACAATAAAGACAAAAAACAACTACATGCTAAATATAATTTCAGTAATTCCCTCGAAGCACAGAGAGACACAAGTGGCTTTCTTGTAACTAGTTTATTTGAAGGCTTCTCTCGCTCCTCAAATCCACCATGAAAGCTTAAACACACAGTGTTGATGAGAAAATATAGACCATGTTAGCCAAGTTAACATAAACAACAGTATCCATAACATATGAAATAACAAATAAAATAATAAATTGAAATACAGACAAACAAAACAAAATACCTTGTTGGCTGCATGCTATAAACAGGGAATAGTCTTCGAGTCTTCAGAGGTTTCCTTATATTCGTTCACATTACATCAAAGTGAAAATGTCCCTGCTTACTGCTAGCTTGCCAGTGCTGGTGCTGTCATGTGAGAGCAACCCAGATACTTTAGGATGAGACTTCACATAACAGTAGGTAATTGTAAATACCAAATTCAATTAATTCTCAGTTATGGCAACAGTTTTGTTGTTGTTTTTTTAACTGTGATGTTTTTTGTTTTCATGTAAACGAGAAGACAAAAGATAACAATACTTGACAAAGATTTGACATATAACAATCCAATAACCCCCACCCCCACCCCCCATTACCCTGACCCAACTTCATTGTTTAAAGGTGTGGATGGATGCTGGGAGCCAGATATTATTCTCCTATGCTGTCTGCTTAGGCTGTTTGCCAGCCTTAGGAAGCTACAACAAATACAACAACAACTGCTACAAGTAAATACAATACACATTTGTCCCCTCTGTTATACAATTTTTGTTTTTTGTTTTTGTTATACGAGTTTTTATGTCTCACTATACAAATCTTAACCCTTTTTATTTACAGAGATGCATTTGCCCTGTGCCTGTTGAACAGTGCGACCAGCTTTGTCTCAGGCTTTGCAGTCTTCTCTGTCCTTGGCTTTATGTCTCACGAGTTGGGTGTCAACATCTCAACAGTAGCTGAATCAGGTGTGACACTGCATGTAATACCACAATAATAACACACCTGTGTGGGCTTTATTGTACAATAAGGTTTCTTATACTTTTAAAATGAAATTTCCATTACAAGTAAATAAGTAAGTAAGTAAGTAAGTATTTTTTTTAAATCTTTGTACCACTTGCAGGTCCCGGCCTGGTATTTATTGCCTATCCTCGGGCAGTAGCCATGATGCCTTTACCACAACTTTGGGCTGTGTTATTCTTCATTATGATAATCTTCCTTGGACTGGACAGTGAGGTAAAGGTGTTACAATTAAACTGTGGTAAATAATCATAGATAGGATATGAAATTAGGAAACATAACCAGAGAAACCTGTTTCTTTGTGTTGAATTTAACGTAAAACACTGCCTTGGAATAAATTCTGTTGCTGTCTATTTGATTTAGTTCTGTCGGTTCTGCAATGCAGGTTTTTTTTAACTCTTAATTGTTTCCACACAGTTTTGACAATGAAAGCTGAGAGAAAGTCCTCTAAGGGTGAATTTAAAAAAAAAGAAGAAGAAGAAAACCTTGATATACCAGCTTATTGAGTGGGCATGGCTAACGTGTTTAGCAACTACTTCTCTACTTGCACATCCAGCAGACACAGTGACACATGGGCACCATGTTGAAGCCACCTGATTAGTGATCATGAAGATTAGTGAGAGCCAGGAAACTGAAGCACAGACTGAAGCACAGACACATAAAGCAGAAGAATGTCCTAAAAGCAGCAAAAGTTTGTGTCGAGCTGCTGAGTTAAGTGTTAATTCCACTGACAGTATTGACAGAGCTTCCGGGTCTGAAAAGTGAAGCCAAAGCAGAAGTGTCTTAAACCTGCATTCTATGTAAAGGCCAGCAGGGGGCGCTCCATTGGCTGCAATAACACAGGGATCCAATTCACTTGAATGGAGAATGAACCGACTTGACACTTCCTTTATGAGCTCAGTGAACAGTTTCCTGATGAGTTTATGCTCTCAGTCACTAGTTTCTTCTTCTTCTTCCATACATTATGATGTTCATTTAGTAAATTATGGATTATGAAACATACTACTGTTAAACTGTAATATGAGATCATGTGTGACCAGGCGAGCCACCATTGTTTCTGGCTACGGACGAGTCAAAACTGTGCAGCCAATGAGCGCAGAGCAACTCGTCAGTCTGTTGGCTCGCACTGGCTCCGTCTAACTGTCATGGCGGCAAACTCGAGACTTCAAATCAGTATTCCACAAACCAATGGATGACGTCACGATAGGTTCACGCTTGGTTAATTCCCAGTGGGATAAGAACTGCCAGTGCACCTTTGACATCACAAAGACTCATTTTATTCAGTGTCAATGTGGAGCTTTAATTTATTATTTTTTTTACCCACAGTTTGTGTGTCTGGAAGGCCTGGTCACATCCATATCAGACATGTATCCATCCTTCTTTTTCACGGGTCATCGACGTAAACTACTCTTGCTGTTCATCTGTGTTGTATGCTTTCTGATTGGTCTCTGTATGGTCACTGAGGTGGGTGTCGTTTGGTTTCTGTAGGGTTTCAAAAGCAAAGAAAAATACCTTCTATCTGTGTTCACATATTTTGTTCTGTAGTTTTCATGTGTTGAAAGTGTTTGCAGCACCAGATGTAAATGCAAAGAAAATATGGTCTCCTGCTGCAGATACAATTGAACAGATATTTATTTCACAATAACTCACCTTCTGTTTGTCTCTGTCTCTTCTCTTTTCCTGCAGGGAGGACTTTATGTGTTTCAGCTTTTTGACTACTACGCCTGCAGTGGAATCTCATACATAATTTTTGGCATTTTGGAGTGCATTTGTGTAGGATGGGTATATGGTGAGCTACATTTATTATGTCATCCTGTCAATCAGCTCTAAACAAGCATTTATACTTTTTAATATCAATATCTGTCTCCAAGGTGCTGATCGTTACTACAATAATATTACCGACATGATTAACTACCGCCCCTCGCCGTATATGAAATACTGCTGGAGGTTCATCACTCCATGTGTGGCTACAGTGAGTAAATAAAGGGAAATTCTGTTCCTCTAAGCGTAACAAAGTTATTATGAATTAATAATGTGTGCACATATGCATAAATATATGAACGTGTACACAATTTTCTGACTTTTACTTGTTTTTTTGCATCACTAAGTTGCATTCCTGTGGCTTCAGTTTTATTTAACAGTTGTGTATGTTTTTTCACAGGGCATATTACTCTTCTCTCTGGTCAAATTCACCCATCTGAGATACAATAACACCTATCAGTACCCCTGGTGGAGCCATGTCCTCGGGCTGATTCTTTCTTTCTCTTCAGTCCTCATGGCACCGCTGTGGGTTCTCTACAGTCTGGCTGTAACTCCAGGAACACTGAGACAGGTACTCTGAATATTACACATCCCACACATATTAGGATAGTTAACTTGTTTTGTCAGTGTGGCGTGCTGTTACGATGGATTAATGGTGGCTGTTTCCTTTTCTCTCCTCACAGAGACTGAACGTGATAACGACTCCAGCACAGGAACCGTTCAGAGCACCACTGAAAACTCTCAGGTCTGAAACCTGTCCTTCCAACGAAGAACACGAACTGTGTTCTTTGAACTAGTGCTGGGCAATATGACCAAAAATGTGTATCAAAGTATTTTTTAAGATTATGTCACTTTTACAGTATATTGCTTTTTTCTTTCTTTTTTTGCATGACTGTACCTTTATTCAGGTTTATAGTGGCTTATTCTACTGTCAGGAGTACATAGACTATAAAAACAGTTTAATGCTATCATGTACATACTGAAAGCTTTGATTACTATATGGTTTTCTTGGCCCAACCAAATGATACAATAAAATAACTATATGCATGAAATGGTAGCAGAATATAAACAAATGTTTAAACTGCAACATAGCAAAAACAGAACTTGAAAATAATAAATAAGATATGCCAACAACTTTGCCTCCCTTTCAAAAAATAGTTGTAGAAACACTATAAAGTATACAAACAGATATTTCTTAAATATTATATTGCACAAGTAAGAAACATGACATCACAGATAGTTGTTTTAGCGATGTACCTGTATGAAAAATTCATATTATTAAAACCGGTATACTGGTTCATCCAGTATATCAACCAGTACTACTCTGAAGAGGTGTATAGAAACGTCTGTGTTTTATTTCACCTTTAGCAAAGAAAGGAATTAATCAAGTAATGTAAGTATTAACTTCATGTCCATTGTAGGTAAAAATTAGGTAGTAATAAAAAAGGAAAATAACTGACAAAATCAAATACTTTTTACAGGAGAAAATCAGTTAAAACTACTTTATTTAACAGCTTTTTTTCTGAACATTTGCTTTATTTACAATTGCCTTACAATTTATTCAGCATTATTAACAATTGCTGAATTCAGAAAAATCATCTGCAGCCTGTACTGAGCTTGGCACAGTTCTCTGATTTGTCCAGCAGAGGGGGATAGATGTTTGATATTAGATCACAGGGGCAACTGTCCCGTCAGTAGCTGTAAGGGGACACATCTTATTATGTATGTTATCACAGATCTCTACTTCAGTGGGTTTATTAGTGGGTTTACTTTGATTGAAGTAGCAGACATGTTGCTGGGTTTATTTACTGTAGTTCTTATGTGTTTTCTGGTACATAGACAGATATTTAAAAATGTTAGAGGATTAAAACAAAAGCCATGATACTGTAAATGGCGGAAAGATATACAGTATTTTAGTTTTTGCTGAAAAATGCCAAAGATTCTTCTCAAAGTGTCTACTTTTACGAAGGTGGACTTGTAGCACACAAATACACTGAGAACCACAGACACAAAGTATCACACTTCACCTCTAGAGCCAGATATTAATAGACTGCTGGCACATTGCCTTTACTGTGCCAGAGGGACAAAAGAAGCAACCTTAAAAAAAGGAAAAACTATTATTGCTTTGCAGTACCAAGAACCACAGTATGCACAATACAATAATAATTAACACTTCCCAGGAGATTCAGTCAGTACGGCTTCAAATACCTGCATCTACAGCATCTGGCATTGGTCAATATAGTATACCACAATGCTATTTGACAATAAGAGGAAATAATAATAATAATAACAAAGAATCGAGAAGAAGTAAAAATCTATTCATCTACAAAAGTTTGCTTCCATTACGTCATTCTTCATCATGAAAGTGAACAAAAAATGACTGTATGATTCTGTAAAATCATACAAAAAAATCATTAATCGGAAATTTCTGAATTTACATAAACATTTCCAAACGGATTGCATTGACTTTTATCTTGACTGTGTCTGAGGTAAAGTTGTTTATGTATTATTGAACTATTTCTTTTTATCATATTAGGTATTGAGACCTGGGCTGTTGTTTTTAAATGTGCTACAATAATAAACTGATGTGCCTTTTCACTTTTCTTTATCTGTTTGTCGACCTTTATGTCACATTTTAGATATCACTGAGCAGGAATGCAAACAAACACTCATGTATCTGACAGGACTACAATTTATCTGGGGACATTTTCCAATACTGTACTTTTCTTTGCAAATTTAACATGGACCCACCGCTGGGAGAAAAATGGGACAAGGTGTGCAAGCTGAAAGCCTTAAGACTGTGTGACAACCGTGATAAATGCAGCCGGCACTGACACGGCTATGGAAAAAGACAAAAGATACCTTTGTCTTGTCACAATAATCCTAATCTGTTTGAAGATGGAGCTACATTAGAGAGAACGAGAGAGAAAAGAAGAATAAACCCATACAGGAGTGGAAGCAGATTCCTGGTCAGCAGTGATAAATGTTGCTACATCAGAAACGGGGCTCAGTATGATGTTTCTCTCTAATGGCCTGATTGCTCAATTAATTCTGCGGCCCGTTCTTTGCTGGCCGCCTTTAATGTGGAAACAGCTATATTTTCTCCCAGATTAGTATAGATACAGGCTGACAGTCTGCACTGCTCAAGGTATTTGGGAGGTATAATTCATTCATAATGCCACAATGCGCTCCATCTATCATCTCGGGTTTTTCATCCGCTAACTTGCCGCTTGCTCCCTCCTCTCATTCCAAGCTCCTGGCTCTTCTGGGGCTGGTGGGGGTGGAGTGGGGGTAAAACCCAACACTGCATGGCGTGTGTGTGTGTGTGTGTGTTTGTATATGTGTGCATGCATATGTGCGATTTAGCAAGGAGAGGTGTGAGGAGTGTTAGGATATGTATTGTGTGTGTGTGTTTGGGGCGTGTGGGGCACACAAGGTTGTGAGGTCGGCAGCTTCTCTTCTCCTGATGAATTAGCTGGCATATGCAAGCGATGAATTACCAGGCAACGAGAGTCAATTATCCAAAGAAAAAAAAATACACGGACCCTGCGCCTGTGGCCCCAGGGTCCCTTTTCCAATTCAGAGAGTGATTTTCCCAAAATGTAGAGGGGAAGAGAAGAGAAGCAGCCTTGAAGGAGCGAGGGTGGGATGATGAGGGGTTGGGGGAAAAAAGAGAGAATGAATGAAACGACACTACATGTGTGTCCCCCATCCCACACTCCTCACCTCTTTTTCCTTCCTCCCGATCAAATCCAGAAGGCAAAGCGCAGTGTGAAAATGCAAAAGGCTATTATCAGGCCTTCAGAGTGCACAAATGCCACTTATGATGGATGAGTGTGGGATTTAGAAAGGCCTCCTGTCAAACACTGGCCGTTTCCCCTCCTTAACTGGCCCTCTCTTTTTCCTCACTTGTCTCTTGTATCAAAATCATATCAGGCCCCCAGTTGAAATAGGCCTAAGTGGAAGGCATTTGTAATATACTGAAGCGGGGGCACACATATACTCACAGTGTCCCATGCTGTTCTTGCCACTTAATTTCTAACCTCTTTCGGAGACAAGAGGGAAAGATGGAGTGTTTGTGGTTTATAACATTTCTGAGAACAAGAGGAAAGGTGTCGCATCATCAGCTGTCTGAGTGACACTGGTTGAGAGTGACACTGGAGAAATAAATAATAAAACAAATAAATCATTAGGAGGAATCTCAGTGGGTATTGTGAATGTGTTAATGATTTAAAATCCAGCACCACTAAGGAAATGTATGCTACAGCAGGGTGTCAGAGAGGAAGAAAAACTGAAAAGCAAAAGAATGAAAGCAAAGTGCAGCTTTGGGGAAAGAGAAAGATTTCACAGAAAGACAATAACTCTTGGAATCTATTACATTATATCCACTGATGTCAGTCCAAATCACTGGATGAACCTGGCCACGAGTGCTTATCTTTCAAAGAGTTGTTTCTGATAGACCAATTTAATCCCAATGGTTGGACTTGCAGTATGTAACCAAACTGCTTTAAGAAAAGAGGATAATATAAGCTCCCAATGGGCGAGCACAGCCAAACGTCATTAACAGTTTTAAATCCTAAACTTTATGACTGCCAAAAGAAAACACAATACCATTAACAAAAGATTCTTAAGTTATAAGAATGAATGCAGATGTACAGTAGAGTGACTGAAATGCTTGGAGAGCGTTCCAGGCGAGATGGAAAAGAGGGATCTAAGAATAAAACAAAAGACAATTATATCATAAGGTTTAGCTGGCACCAAAAATGGCCTCTGCAGTATTATGAAAGTAACACTTTAAATTAACCCTTGACACAAGCTGAACAATGACAGTGAGCAGATAGTTAGCAGTGAAATTATTCTCAAATACAGCAAAAATGAAATGCTCAGAATTTTCTTCCCACATCAATTAAGGAAGGTCTAACAATACCTGTTAATATCTATTATCGCAGTTCAATGGTTCCATCCAGGGGTAGATTAACCCATGGGGTACTTGTGCAATGACCAAAGCATTCATAGAAAGATTACAACCATAATTTAGTACAAACAAAAACAAAACAAAAACAAAGCATAGACAATTGCAGGATCACTATGTTTTGTATGAAAAAGTTATTGTAACAGTATCCAGTCTTAGAAGCTTTTAAATGTCTTAAATAACATCCAGTTTAAAACAAATTAAAATGAGCACATGAGGGGTATGAAGGGGTAGAGAGTTGGTGTAAGATGGTAAGAATAAAGTAACAGTAACTCTCAAAACAAAGTTAACAGGTGAGTAAAAGACAGATCCTAATATAAAACCTTCTTTGTAATCTTTCTGCCTCGTCGCTGACTGAAGGGAGTTTCTCTCTCTGGTGTTTGGTTGCTCCGAATCACCCGAATTACCTGAAACTGTCTGAATACTGTCTACATCTTTTGCACATATAACATTAATTAATGAATTAATTACTCTTATTGGCTTTTTGTTTGTGGGGCATTTGTTGCGCTTGCAGTGGCGTGTTGTGTGTGGTTGTCTTGGATCTCTACTGCTGTTTCTCCGGTGCTGCTCCTGCTCTCTCTCGCTGTCCGCCTCTCCAGTCTGAGCTCTGTGTGATGATAGCTGCAATGTGCATGAAAGCTTCACCAGTAAACGCAGCAGTGTAACAGCTGACATAAAACAAAAGATCAGATCGGATCAATAAAGCTCAATATAGTACCAATAGTACCAATATAATACCAATCAGTTAAGAAAATGCCTTGATTGGCGCAGACACCGAGCTTTGAGATTGGATCAGGACATCCCTAGTCTGTAGTTTTGTATGCTTTCACTCTGGCGGCAGTGTAAGGGGAGAGATTCTCCA